ATTCGCTCCGACGAAGGGCTAACGCTCGAAACGTCAGCTTTTGTAATCATTACGGTGGCCAATTTACCATTTCAACTTTGTTGATATATCCAAATTATTTCGTTACTCCCACCGACGCAGCCCCAAACAGTTTCTTTCGAAACTATCAGCCTTTCGCCCTTTAGCCTATCAGCCTATCAGCCTTTAGCCATTCGCTCCGACGAAGGGCTAACGCTCGAAACGTCAGCTTTTGTAATCATTACGGTGGCCAATTTACCATTTCAACTTTGTTGATATATCCAAATTATTTCGTTACTCCCACCGACGCAGCCCCAAACAGTTTCTTTCGAAACTATCAGCCTTTCGCCCTTTAGCCTATCAGCCTATCAGCCTTTAGCCATTCGCTCCGACGAAGGGCTAACGCTCGAAACGTCAGCTTTTGTAATCATTACGGTGGCCAATTTACCATTTCAACTTTGTTGATATATCCAAATTAAAAAACCTCTAGATTGATGAACAAATTCTCCTTGTCGGCACCTTAGAAAATGTATAGAGAACAGTATGGAGAATATGCATACTGATGTTAGGGTGTAAACGGTTAACGTCTCAATCCCTTACCTACTCCCTTATCGAAATTATAGTACACTTTAGCGTTCGGCCAGAGATACATTTTGTCCTTAATGAGAGCCCGTTTAGAGCCTTGCTGCACGCTGTCGTCTTTCTTAATATTACTTAGGAAATCATGTTGGTCAGGTGTCAGTATCATGTCGCCTTCAAAGTAGTCTTTTCCTAAATTTTCCTCGCCTGTTGAATAGCAAAAAGACTCATCATCACATTAGATAAGTAAATAATTAAGGGCACAAGAACGTTGCAAAATTTAAACATTGAAAGGGTGGAATGACAGGACACCACTTTTTCTTATAATATAGATACAATTAAAGAGAAAAGTGATGAAAATAAAGGAAAGTATTAGTCAGGAAATTATTATTTGACCCAATACCAAATGATCTAAACTAAGATCCGAGTCAGTGTCTACTCTACAAAACCCATATGCTAACTTTTCAAAAACAAAAGTATTTAATTCACAAGCTTGCGAAACGTGTGCGCTGTTAGCCATTTTCAGGTCGCTTTCTTTATTGTCTGGCCGTCTGAAATGCTTGGTCGATTTAAATTTAGCGCGCGTCAACCATGAAGGTCCCAGGTGATGTCGCCTCATTCTGCGCGATGCATAAGAATTGTATGGCAGACAGTAAAGAGTATTATAAATAAGATATAAGGAGTGGAAGGGTTAAGAAGTTTCTTTTTTTCCTAGAGTTCTCTGAATGTATACAATAAACCATTTATACTAAGTTTCACTCCATGGGGGTAGACTACTGCTGGGCAAAAACTTTAAAGGATAACCACTCAAAAACCTTTCATAATTGATGAACTTGTATTCAATAACAGAGCTACGAAAAATTCCCTCTAAAAGAAAACTGGACCGGTTCTCCGTGGCCAACTAGAAGCGTATACAGTGGAGATAGGAATAATAATAGGGGAGGGATGGGAGAGCAGTTTTTGTACCTATTTCGTCACTGTCCTGTTGCTGAACTGCGTCTTCCTCTTCTTGAGCCAGCGTTGCTCTATCGGTGGCCAGTTGGTTGGGTGTTTCTGGGGCACTCACAGGCGAGCTAACATCTGCAGGATAAAAGTGGAATTTTGTCACGTTTACCAAGATGAACTCTCATTCTTATCACTTAGAACCTTTGTTCCTTTTTATTATCGCTAAGACACTGATTCATTGATTTACTGATTATAGAATTTCCGTTTGCGGCTAGCAGTAAAAAACCACTGTTCATTTTTATTTCCTCTACGTAAAGATGTTAGCTAAATTCCCTCGCCCTGAGCTCTTAGCTCAGCTCTCAGTAGATGCTCATTCGATGAGGAGTAAAGTCAACGGAGTTCGGAGTTTTCCAAAGCTAGGAGTTCATTAAATCAGCAAACCCAATGCAAGTCATGCTCGTTACGTTCTTTTTTTTTTTTTCGTTTGCACTATTCCTCAGTCTGTAGCTTTTTCGGTTTCCCTTATTCCAAGACATTGTGTATTTTGTGTTTTCACCGCATGTGCTGTATGAATAAACGAATTTGAAATCTTGCTGCCTATCCTCATACTTCACGGTGGTTGACCGGGCGAACTCTGGTGCACAGCACCACGTGTCTGCGTCACCGGGAACGCAACAGCCATTTTTTGTGGAACTGTTTCTTCCATCAAACATTTTACAGATTGTTGCTTGCGCTATTCAATTGAGCGTTTTCTTAGGCTTAATGTATAGGAAAATCGAGCCAAATATAAGAAAACATAGAAAACGTTGTCTAATCAAGATGCAATCAGCTACTTCTATTTTTGTCTTCAATTAGTGTATGACAATTGAATATGATCATATAAAATGAATCGACCTCTTTACCTGTTACAAGAGTTAGTGAAGAGACTGAAAAATTTCAGGATATCGAAGTACTAAAACACATTTTATCCTTAAACTGCAGTTTCTACAAGAATTCCCAGCTTTGAGAAAAGCATGCGATAATATTTACGCGTCACTCACCTTTCACACCACTCTGTCAGGTTGATAAATGAACGGCAAAGCGTTTGCCATTCCTAATCTAAGGTCTTTTGTCGTATTTTCTTGTCAGAAAAGGCCTCTAGTATCAATATAATAAACAGAATACTACATGGTTGCTTGTAGATACAGAAGTTCTCATCAGGAGTTCAACTTGACATTCCGCTTGTTCGCTGCACTAACTGGTGAGATATCGAGTTGAACACAAGGAGAGAAATTCGATATCTGCATGCAACCATGCATTATTCTCTTTTTATTCACTCAATGCAGGTACAACGCTCCTGTAAATTGATAATGAACCTTTTTTTCCTCAGGAGCAGCGTTTGTCGTTGTAATACACTTACCTCGCGAATAAGACACATCGTCTTCTCCATCATCTCCTTCTAAGACATCCGCATCATCTTGATAGTACGCTTTCTGTAATTGAGGTTTCAGCTGGTTTTCTTTAAACACCATTGATCTGGAATCAGGCTTGGTATGCTTGGTTGTTCTTTCTTCCGTTTTAGTGAGAGAAGGCTGCTTTAGCGTGGTTGATTTTTTATGAATCGCCTTCTTTTTTAAAATTTTGTGGAGATGACTGCTTTTCTTCTCCGCATGTTTCTTGTGCACATTACTTCTAAGGACTTTAATTTCGCGTTCGCGGAGTGGTTTATCCCACAATTCCTCGTCTGTTGGGGCTTGGTTCGTTTCATTTTCTTTTGTTATGTCATCTCCGTAACCTGCATCAAGAGTATTTCAACCTCAAAAGAAATTTATTCACAGAAATAGAAATTTGCGCACTATACTACCAGTATTCGTGGAAATCCTGCTTGATAATTATTTAATCGTCTCCTTCATAATATAACTGGCTCTGAAGAAGACTTGTAGAAGAATAGTACCACCATTAAAATTCGATCTATCACTCAGAGGGGTCAAATTCCTTTGACTCACTTACTCGCCATGGCATGTTTTCGGTTAAGTTTTCTGAACGTTTTGAGCTTAGATTTGGTTAGATAGGGAGTGCGATTTCACCGAAACAATTCGCCGAATAACCGCGATTCCATAAAAAGTTTAAAAAATGGTTAGTATTGTACCTAGACCTTAACCGAAAATTTACATACGAGTCAATCAAATAGACCTTGGGTGCAAAGTTTTATACCCCGCGGTTCGAGGTACCCAGGGATTGAAATTACGGCTCTTTACGCAATATAGTGATCCCAAACTGCATTACATTATTTAGTGGAACGATTTATGGTAACACCATCATCACTTTCTACAAACAGAGTAACCGTGACCATACCTGGGCATTTATACAGCAAATTTCCTTGTCTTATATCCAGATCACTGAGCCCGACCCTCTGACCAATGGTTGCGTCCGTATTTTGTATTGGTTCCAGAGTTTTTAATCCTTTGCCCTTCGTAAAGAAGAATTCGCCGTAGTGCATAACTGAGCCATAGTCGTATTCCACTTCTCGAGAGTCCACAGTCTCTGTAGTTTCCTTTTCGAAGTTCCTTTGATAACCTGGTAAAAAAAGGAGAAGCTCTCAACACTGCAATCAGCCGCTTTCGGAAGATTATCCTTATAACCGTGCTAATCTAGCCGGTTATACTTGACTGGGCGGATATGGTACAACTGCACGGTACTTGCTTTAAATGCCTTCCACACTTACCACTTTCGATATTTCCCCACTTAATTTCAACGTAGTCATCACGGTCTGGTCGGCTATGCTCGTGAAAAAATCCCAGAGAATGAGCAATTTCGTGGACAAGGTTTCCATGTTTACAAGTAATGGAACCATCTGCGTTTCCGACTGAAATTGTCTGCTGGCCGCCAATACGTCCCACGTATGAGGAGCAACTAAGGGCGAACAAACGAGAAAAAAGAAACGATTTCCTTACAAATTATTCATTACAGTAACTGGTTTGAACCCGTGGGTAACATGTGATGGTGTAATCTGTTTACCGCCTCCCGGTTAGCTCAACTGGTTAGAGCGCTGGACTGTTGTGCGGGATGTCGAGGTCGATGGTTCGAGCCCCGGCCGGACCAACACCCAAGGTCTTAAAATAACTGAGGAGAATGTGCTACCTTTCTATAATATCAAGAAATGGATAGACATTCTCGTCTTCTCGGATAAGGACGAATAAACCATAGGTCCCGTCTCCTGGATCTAGTAATTAGTTCATTTGGTTAGGCAGGGGACCTTAAAGAACCCACTCACGAGATTACTGTAATGTGGTCTAGCCTGTTTACTGGTATTTGGGGGGAGGGGGCATCTTCAAATAAGTTTCCTTCGATTGTTTGTAAACTGCTGATGCAGTCCGGCCAAAGTCCCCCGAAAAGTGTTGTGATGCGCATTGAATAATAATAATAATAATAATAATAATAATAATAATAATAATAATAATAATAATTATTATTATTATTATTATTATTATTATTATTATTATTACTATTATTAGTCTGATCCTTTGGGTGTAGTGTAGTCTTGAGAAGGACCGTTAAGGCTGGTGCTGACTAACGTTTCGACAACCTTAGCGGAAGTCACCATCAGTCTCATGACTTCCGCTCGAGTTGTCAAAACGTGAGTCACCACTACCCACAACAGTCCTTCTCAGGACTGCACTCACCCAGACGATCAGACTACACTTAACTGGTTCTTGAAAGTTAAACACACTTGTGGCAAGTCTCCACAAAATATGATTTACGTGATCACTCCATAAAAGGGTAGGAATCAAGTAAATTTCGTTGGTATTTAACTGACCTTGGTTGGCAGCAGTTGTTTGGGCGCTCGATAGAAATAGCGGCCGGGAGTGTGTTGCAATAGTTACAAACAAATAAGAGGGTGGTTCTTTTTTTTTCTCTTTTGGGGCTGTATTGTTGCGAATTATTGTTTTTTTTTTATCTTGGGATATGATCCTTTTATGCTAGTTATAAGAAAAGAATGGGGGGAAAATGGTCAAGATAACAAATTTAGGCTTAGTAAATTAGTTACATTAGGATAAGCTGCGTACGTACCCTACCTCGTAGACAAACTCTATGTAATCTTGGTCGGCGTCGTTTTTAGGTCTTAACGTAAGGCAGGTATTGTCACTCCACTCTTTTATTGCTGAGTTTATGTAGCCTCGACTCTCTGTGCCTGTTGTGGAAATAATTCGGGAAGCGACGTATGATAGTCAGTGCTAGAGTTGTGTTGGTTCCCAACTAACTCTTTTAATTGAATCCATTATCAAGTATTTTCCCAAATCACAGATATCTTTCGGACTATTTTCCCGTGAATAGGATTCCAATTCCGCTTTCTCTTCGACAATTGTAACTTTTAATACCATTAACACTATCATAAGCCTTGTAAAGGGGCAGGGAGGAGGGGGCGTGTATTGATTTCCAGGGGTTCCAGACAGGACTAAGGAGGGAGGGAGGAGAGATAGATCGTAAAGTTCTACACGGGGGGGGGGGGCTTATTAAAGAAGAGACGAATAGTGTAACATCAAAAGCAACTTTAAATTTATGATTCAGGGGTCAGTGGTGGCGCATTGCATTCACGTCCTCAAGGAATTTGTATATGATTCATAATGGTAAGCAGTACTTTAAACTTCTTACCCCGATCGAGTTTCGGGAAGATTCCTGTTTTTCCCACCCCATTTGTTCGTTTGTATGGTCTTTGTATGTTTGCCGCCATTAATTATTATTGAGGCTAATACTGAATGTATATTTTTCAGTCAATGAAATATTGACATCTTGATAAATGCGACTTTAGACATTTGCTCGTTGCTATTCTGATAGACATAACGAGCCCAAAATACATGCTCAGACTTCGCCCATATCACATAGCGGACCCGTACCTGTTCCAGGCGTCCAGTTGATTAAAAAAAAATAAGGCAATAATACGGGCTGAGTGAGGCAAAAAAGCTAGAAAGATGGAGGGGAGATTGTTTGCCTTCCTGGCCTTAACTGAGGCCAGATTTAGAAGAAAGGACTTCTCTAAAAAATCTGCAGAGACCTAAACCACAAGCAGCCTTACTTGTTCTCAGGTAGCTAATTGTACTCACTCAGATCACTAGCAAGCGCGTATGGAACCACACCATTAGCCCACAGTTTTCGTTCGTCTTTTATAAGTGCTCTGGCTTGGAGAGCGTTTCCTCCCCTGGAGGACTTTAAGTAGTCTCTAAGCTGTTGGGTTAACTTTATGTCTCCCTCAAAGTAATCCATTCCCAGATTTAACTCTCCAAATGTTGCTGAATAAAAGAACGTAGTCGTAATCACATTTACCTTTTCAAGGACTATTCGTCTTGCATGCTGGTCAGGTGATATCCTCTATGTAACCTTCTTACATTATGATAATCAGGACAAACACTTATCACACATAAAATCACGGCAGGAAACAGATATTGTGTGAGTTTCAGGTCATTCAGTTGGTAGAAAAAGTGAAAACTTAAAAGGATTCAAACAATTTTTTGCGCCACCATCTATCATATTGATGACGGAGATGATGACACCGCTGATGAGGATAGCTACGTCGACGACATAAAAAAAAAAATGATGATAATAACGAGAAGTTTCAGTGGTTATGTTTGCGATTGTATCGACGACATTATTTTAGTATCAAGGTAGAGCAAATAACCAGTCATCGTTTACCTTCCATTTCTTGGTCATACATTTTTAGAGTCGCGGGATTTATGGATGGATCCAAATCTATGGTTTTGTCTGGTTCACTTGCAGTGGCTGAGGGAGAAAAAATGCTCATGTGTATTAATACCTTAATGTAAGGAAATGCACCTCCCAGGGATGGAGTCATAAATAAAGTCTGTTAAATGTTTAAATGAATGCAGTTGTAATCCATAAACTTCTTTAAAATGAAGAATTAGACTCTTAGACTATGTGATCGTGAATGGAAATTGATCGAGGAAACGTTGTGTGTAATCCTATTACTTTTTACGTCCTGATACTGACTATTCTCCAAAAGTCCTCCATTCAATTCTGACTTTATTTGTCTCACGTAAGTGCATACACATTTCTTCATTTTTCAACTCCTTTACTTGATTCTTGCTTAGTTTCAGTTGGATTAATGAGATAGAATGATTAACAGGCTCGTGGCTGGGGCAGGGAAGAGTAACCACTGGGTTAAAAAAATCTGTAACCACAACGTTTATATTCTCACCTCGGCATGTGAAAAAGTTTTGTATTAACAATACAAAAACTGGAAGGTCTAAACCTCGCATCCTTCCCCCGTCCTGTTCGTCGAGAGAACAAAACGATAACAAAAATAGCAAAGAAGACTGATTAATCCACTAGTAACTGCATGATTGAAGAAAGCTCGAATTTTAGTTTTTTTTTAAAACAGTTCTGATTGATTTTTTTGTCCCATATAAACTTTCTTGTAACCGAACTGCATCAAATGAACAGTTGCAGAGCCAATGAATATAATTAAACAGAAAATGGGGGAGGGAGGGCAGGGGATTTTGCGCGGCTTCAGGATGAAACCAAAAAATTCATGAGGGTCATTATATAATTCTATAATTCCTACAGTACAGTACTAGTGTTGAACCATTTCAAAAAGTATTGTGCGTTTACTTACTCAGGTTTCGGTGCAGTACAAACTCACTTGGTTTGACCAAATCAGGCATAGGAAAAAAAAGTGAGTATGGAAGCACTCGATTCAATCTGTTTATTTTACGACTCAGTGTTTTTTATTTACTGTGAATATATGAAAATCATATGTGTGAACTGCGATTTTAAGAAATGAATATGAAAGTTATCTTCGCAGTAATGAACAATACTTACGCAGTAGTGAAATTAAAGCCTGGAAAGAATATTTGGCCAACTGAGCTGGGAACTGGTCATTGTGTTGGTTTGTAATAAACCCGTTACTGTGAAGATCGCATTCATATTCATTTCTTAAATCCGCAGTTCAAATAGTCGTTGATTCATCACTTCACGAGTTTTCTATGAACCAACATAATAACCAGTTCCCAATTGGTTTGTTAGCTCAGTTTGCAGAGCACTGCACCGGTATCGCAGAGGTCATCGGGTCAAATCCCGTACAGGCCTTAATTTTTTTTCAGCCCTAATTTTCACTACTGCTTAAGTAGTGTTCATAACTGCGAGGATCGCATTCGCATCCATTTCAGTGTTTTTTGTTATACATCTCAAAAGCGTCAGAATGGAAAGACAACAAAAGCGCTGGTACCAAATGTTGCTCGACAGAGTAAAAACTGCAGGTATCATTGGGCCAATCAGCACGAAAATGACATTGAAAAGAAAGGAATTTGGAGAGGTCAGACTGCTTGTGGTATTTCGCAGTAAAATTCAAATTGATAAAAATGAGTACTGCTGGTAATATTGTTTTCGTCTAAATCCCTCTTGACATTGATTTGCCTTAGATGATCATTGTAAGATTGTGCTTGACAGATGGAACTAAAAGAAAGTCGAATATAAGATCTTTGCTATTTCCAGGCGTAATTGATCACTGACAGCTAATTCTCTTCATACATGATAACTTCAAGTATATAGTTTAGGTTTACATTTTTACAACAGACAAAACTGCAGATGAAATACGGTGACGCACGGCCATTTAGCGAAGCCGTGGGTATTACGAGTCGATTTAATTTGGAACGAACATATACTTCATCAAATAAAAAGATAAGAAGATAAAAAAGACATCTTACCTTCTGAAAGCTCAATTTTCTTTCACCTGCCTGGTGGATATTTGAAAGGGAAGTTTTCCCTTAAGGTTTTCCTTCTAAAAATATGGTCCACAAAATAAAAGAGACTGTAGGAGCGTGAAACAGTAAGCTACGCGATTGGTTCACCAGTAATGTTTTTAAGCAGGTACTAGTTCACGCTTGAGATCACTTACGACTGGTATCCCAGTGTCTTTCATTTAAGCATAAAATGCTTGCATTGAATTTTCTTATTGTCTCTGATGAATGGGCAAGAAAAATTCTTACACGAGATAGGCTGCGCTAATGAGTCAAGTATGTCTCACAACTATGTAATTGAAGTGGATAGGCATTTTGCTGAAATAAAGGCCTCTGGTAAGGAGATGAAAGAAATGATACCCAATACTAGTATATTATGTCAGAATTGTTTGGCATCGACTTGCTGAGGTATAAGAGAGCTTAAACTATTGGCAACAGTGACGTCTAGCAACATGCATGGTCTCAAATATTGGACGAATTGAGTGGCACCAGACCTCTCTTCTTCCTTGCATGTAAGAGCAGCGTTTAATTTAAGACAGATACATGATTCTTTAAGTACCGTTAGCACGGGATCTCTGGTATGAGTAAAACGCCAAATTTCCAATTGCGATGGTATTGGACTAAAAACAAATCAGAACTTGGAAAAAAATTTAAACCATTCGCGTTGAGCCATTGTTATGCGCGGCATTAAACGTTTTGTTCCAGCACGTTCTCGTTGCCGTCGCCGCGCCGCCGCTGTACCTTAACCCCAATACTGATGATTTAAGACTTACTTTATTTCTTCCTCGGGTTAAGGTTTTCTGTATCATGATGCTCACACATTAAGCTTTTTAAACATAGTTACAAACGGTGGGTGGTATATCCTCTTTAATTTTATGGGTCAAGTAAAAGATACATTGGCTTATCACTTGAAATTGCCTACATTTAACTTTTTGTATTAACAAACATTTACTAAAACTGAATTTTTTCGAATAGGAAATTTATCTCCTAGGCCGAATGATAAAGCTGAAATGGCGAAAGAGTGTTTAATTTCAGTCATACTTTAATTACAGAATATTAGTGAGGTTTAAGTTTTAATTGAAAGCGTTAACTTTAACAGCCTGTCTCCTAAATCCTCATGCATAATGGGCTCCACAATGTCTGAGCTAATTCCAAATTCAGGTTTTTCGATGTCCTTCACACATTTTTTCGAATACTGGCCAGACTCACATTACTTGACTCCAACCACCTTCGATCCTTAAAGAGAGTTTACAAAGGCAACACGTGAGAAATTTTAAGTCCCCAATGTTCCGTTCGAAGTCTTACTTAATTCTCGTCTGAGTATCGGCTGTCTTAAAAGATAGGTATTTGTTAGAGACCATATTATATTTGATGTCTATCACCAAAAAGTATATATGAACACACAACATTGACCGTGTTTTGACCTTTCGGAAGTTCTCTTCAAATTTGCGGAAACTTCGATTATTGACGCCGCCATACATTTTGGAATATGCATGGCACTCCGGCCAATTGTGTTAGTGGTGACAAAGTCTCCATGATGCGGCTTCGTTCCCCCGACCGCCCCACTCTCCTCTCCCCTACTCTCCTCTTAACTTCCCTACTCTACCCCTTACTCTCCTAGATCCTCCTCATTAACATTTTTCCTCCTCTTCACTATCCTAAACCCAAAGGGCCGGTTATGTAAACAAGGTTTAGCCGTTGTTTAACAAAACCGCGTTCTGAACTATCTTCATTTTTAGCCGAGCTTTTTATCTGAACCCAAGAGGGCTAACAGTCGAAGGACATTTATTTAATCAGGTCAACCCTCTACTGAGAGAGTAACTGAGGTCCATTGCTTGGGTAAAACCGCGGTTTGGGTTAGACCTCGTTAAATAACCTGAGCAAAGTGTTAACCGAAAGGTTGCACACCAACCAGCTCAGTTATATTAGTTTGAACTCGGCTTGCTATTCTAATAAAGTAAGCAGTTTTCAGCCAGGTGCACTAAAAGAAAAACCAATAAAATCACAACCGACGGTCTGAGCAAAGGAAAATATCACGATGATACAATTTGAAAGCGCGAGAAAACACGAATAACCAAGGTGCGTGCACCGGTTTTAATTTTGCTGCTGATTGATGGGGGAGAGGTAGTTGCTGCTGCTGATTACTGAGGGGGGGGGGGTACAAGAAAAAAAACTAAATTGAAAAATCATTCTTCGCACATTAAGCGATAAAAAGATTAACACTATAAGCTGTTTACCCCTTTCGTTATCACACTGGTACAGCATCCTTCCTTTCTGAATATCCAAAGTGCTTAGTCTTTCTCTTTGTCCAATGTCTACACCTTTAACCTTTGCGTGTAAAGTCCTCATGCCTCTCTCTCGGGCAAAAAAGAAAGAACCATAGTGCATCACGGAATTGTAGTCGTATGGGACATCCTGTCCATAAATCGTCTTGAAACGCTCTTTCCTAAAATGGACTCTACATCCTGCAAAGATAAATATAACAAAGGCATTTACATCTCTAGATGAGTATCTCTCTACATTATTTAATCACTCTATCAAAGAGAAACGGTTACATTCCACACTGCAGAAAAATGAACTCAACTAATCAGTTTAATTTACCAGGCATCACATTGTCCCAAACTACTGTAACGTACATATCACGGTCCGGTCGATTGTGTTCGTGGTAGAAGCCGAGCGCATGCCCAATCTCGTGCAATATGCTCCCTTTACTACACGAGATAGTCACGTTGCTTCCGTAAGGCGTAGGAGACCTGCAGGACACATCTGCATATTCAGTTCCAACAGATCCCACAGATATGACTTGACGACCTCCAATGCGGCCGATACTTGAAGAGCAACTGGAAAATATTATGTGAAAAGTGCTTCTGGTAAGCCCTATGTACAATAGCAATTACTAGTTGTCCTTGATGTAGAGGTTTGTAGCAAGTAAAGTTTTAAAGGAGAACGTTACTGAGAAAAAACACGTCTGGTGCAGAACAAAGAATTTTTCGAAAGCAAATTAAAAAAAGGTACTTGGTAAAATTCTCTAGAGCAAAACTTAACTGAAAAAATCCCTTGAATGCTAAAATGCAGTTTAAATTAAATCAAATGGTTTCGTTTGACCAGCATAACTCTTACATATAATCGCTTTTAATGAGAAACGTTCAAAAGCTTTATTCAAAATATCAAAACGCTGCCGACGGACGTACTAATTCATGGGATCGTGATGTTTAGTAAACGCTTTGCACAATTTTTAAGGAGCCTTAGGTTTGAAGTTGAAATAAAACGCAAAGAGAAAAACTCAGGTGGAACAAAGAACAAAATCACGAAAGTGCGGTTCACCCAGATTCATTACATTAAACAAAAAATTCTTCTTAGCCGGCTCTGCATTTATTTATTCACGAGCGTAATTTGTCTTTTCTTCATTTTTTAGTCATTACCTACCCTCCCTCATAGGCAAACTCCACATAGTCATCCTCAAACCTCCGTTCCTTGAAAACTATACAAAGCCTGTCTTGCCATTCCTTAATAGCTGCACGGATGTTTGTTAGACTCTCCTCGCCTGCAAATAGAAAGAATATTTAATATCAGTTCATCTTAAAATGTTATCTTACGGAGAGATCATGCTTTATTAGGTAAAAACGAACTGAGAGAAAAGAGCACTATACTTGATTATATGAAAAAGGTTTAAATCTCAACAGATCAATTTACAATCTCTAGGTTGTCTGTGATATTACTTTATCTATGAGTGTTTACCTACCCAAATATATTTCGAATTTATGGTATTCATGAAAGCGAAAAGGAGAAGTATACACCAAGAATAATATGAAGTTTACCTCCACCGTGAAAATTTTTACATAAAAGTTTTTTTACTTACCACGTTTTAGATTCCACAGTGCAACCTAAGCTTTAGAAAATTGTCTTCAAATGTGCCAAAAATTCGACTTCAGAAGTCGCCATTTTGCAAACAACTTAGAAACGATGCGCTCTCAGGGTTCAATTATATTAGATGGCAAGAACCGACGACCGGGGCAAGGCCGCATACGCATTATCTCCCAGACTTCAACTGAAATGGCGGGAATCGACGCGGGGAAGCACATTCCTAAATAGTTGCAGCACAGTTGCAGCACTGGTTTTCGACTTTCCGTTAATAATCGTGAATTGAGTCAATAATGCTCTTCAAAGAAATCACCAAGAGATGGAAAAGAGCTTGAGACTATGTTATCGCACAGGTAAGCAGCCAGATTGCACAGTACTGTAGGATTCAAAGTGGCTAGCGGCGTTCGCTGTCAATAATTTCCGAAAGTTTATGAACGTTTTGGGTTATCTTTTTTAATCTCAGCTCGGAGTCAGTGTAATGATGTTGGATTAAGAAATCATATGGTTTCTGGGGCATACTTCACCTTCAAAAGTTTACTTATCAGCCTCTTTATGACCTGACTTGTTTTCATAAATAACGTATTAGTACTAACTACTATGATATGACTTTTCAAAGCTCGAAAATAAGCAACCCTAAGCCGGTTTTCATGAACACATGGTCTGTACATCTCACATATGCATGTGCACTGCATGGACTGCAGAACTGGGTGTTACTTTTCAGGACCTCGGTTCAGTTCAGTTCAGTACAATCTAACGTGATTTAGTACTAGGCGAGATATTCTTATGTGGACCTCTCGTCCGGTAAGAAAAAAACATTTATTTACTGCGGCCATCATTCACATTTCTTATCATTTGTCCCTTATGGAACAAAGTTGACTAAAGTGATGGAATTGTTTCTATTATTTTATTCAATTCTGATTAAGCTGCCTTACGCATTTTTGGTGCTATGGTGTATGGAACCGTACTGTTGAGCCAAAGTTGTCGAAAACCATTCTTTACGAAATCCGTTTCCTCTGATTTGTCATCGACCGTGCTCTGCCAGTAGTTTTGGAGGCTGTCTCTTTGGTAATTTGTTAATAATATGTCACCTTCAAAATATTCTTTTCCAAGGTTCAGCTCCCCAAATGCTTCTATCTCACTCATCAACGTTTGTCAGAAATGAAAAAATAAACAACAGCGTAAACAAACAGTGCAAAGATATCGATCAAAGTTTTTGTCTGGTTCACGCACGCGGGCCATCATTTCACTTTGACCTTGTAACTTTTTTAAGTGAGTCTTTTGAACGATATCGAAAGGCTTTGAAACAACTTAAAATTTTCATTCAAGTGAGAGTCATCAGAATGGATAATCCATTATAACGTCTATTTGCCATACCAACCGCTGGTACGAACGAAACAACGCATGCTCAAGCCTACTCAAGAACGCAGGCACGCGCGAGTGAGTCAATGAATCATTGCTCGATATTGTCAAGTTGCAAATGTAAAGGCTGGGCCCTGGTTTTTCGAAGGGACGAGTGGATAAAGCTATATACTGCATAGTCACGGATACTTTACAGACTCGGGAATCATGTATACAGTATCCACAGAGCGATTAAAACACGAACAGATACCAGTGCAAGACAGGTGAACGAACCATCCAACGATTTGGTGAAAAAAAGAAAACAAACCTAGAGTTGAATAACCTGGCGGAAGGACGGACAGATTGATAAGGCTCAGAAGAGAATTCGAAGGAGGGGGGATGAGGAGGGCGAGTAAGTGCAGGGGGCGTTTGAAAGTGACAGCATACAAATGCCCGCACCAATCTAAAAGCTCGGACTTCGATTAGCATTAATGTCTTTAGACATAAAAACATATCTAATTTGTAGTTCTTAACAAAATTTTATGTTTGTCCCAAACCTTGCATTTGTCTATCGTACAGCTCAAGCATCACTGGATTGGATGCTTCCTGGCTTTCGTTTTCAACTGAAGAAAAAAGACAGAATCGCATAACAATTGATTATCTTTATATATTATACTTTATAGTTCTAAAAATGGCCACCATAATCGATAAGCTGTTAAAAGCCACTTACCATCGAATGTCGAGACTGAACATGAAGCAAAAATCAGAATACACGCCACTGCTGATGTTGAAAAGAATTTCGTGCTCATAATATGATTATGGGCATGAGGAAGTACTTCTGTTTTGCGTATACCAGGATTATGTTACTGTATTTCATTCTTCATTATAAAGCACATGGCAACAAAGTTTTTAGAGAATTCAAACGAAAGGAGACTTCAGGTACCTGGTTGGAATGCTGTCACATATTAATTTCTTAATCTGCCTCTGACAATCAAACTGACAATAAAACAAAGAAGCAGGAAATGATGTAAATAAACAAAGTTATTGAGAAAATTAAAACATGATAATTATTGCCACATTCTTCATTCAAGCTAGAGGGAGTCATTTCAATCTTCATGGTCTTAATGAGTTTAACTTTGATTTAATTTCTACGTTCTTGGCGCGCTCATTTCATCGTAAACAGACTGTTAAGGTTCAGTCATTGTTTCTGAGAATGAATGTTGGTCTTATAAAAATCTAGTTCCTTTTTCGAAAAAGAGGAGGTCTGGTAAGACACATAGAGCTTCAAGAAAAAAAAGTAATGCCACCTTATTCTTTAAGCGCAGATAAAGGCTTCAATTCAAAATTAAATGTTTCAGAATGCAGTTTTAGGGTCTCAGTATTATTAGCATATGCATGTCGTAATTAACATTTGACGGGGCATTTTGCACTAAACCTTCATGTCAAGGACAGGTCGGCTGATTCATTGAATCACCCCACCTTTCAAGCAACTCTGCTCGACGTTTTCATTACCAAGAACACTTACGTGAAATCCTGCCATCAACTTACTTTCCCACGTGAAAACTAGTCCACCCAACAGGTGGTGCAAAACATTAAAAATATAAAAATAAAAATCGGCAAGATTAGTGGCGCGGGCTAGTCTTGGCTTTCTATGGTTTCAATAACCAAACATGTCCACTGGTACGCGGGTGAAACATTCTGTAAGTTATGAAAACTGTTTTAACAACGACAATTACTGCTGTCGTCTCTAGGTACATATAAATTTATGTCATTCCCTCTAACTCGTTTACCCACAACTTTAGAGACTTATGACGCCAGAGTACCATAAATAAGTAATTTTCCGGTGTGGGATTGCAGAATTGGCTTATCTGTAGCAAAAAGGAATAAGTTAAAGAAGTCAAACTAGATCAGACGTCAAAGGTAACACAGCAGTTTGCTGCACGCAAAAAGTGCTAATTTTGTCAACCACTGACCGAGAGTTTGCAAGTTATCCCACAGGCGGTTTTTTTTTTTTTTTAGCTTGACAAGTTAATTGAGTTTTTCAAGTCGTTGTTAAGGAAAAGCTCTTTGCATACCTTATTTTTCATAGGTGACACGCTTTACTCGAATTTATTACGGGTACAAAACAAGTATTGATAAGTGTTTAAGATATCCCTTTCGCGAAATCTGTTGTGCCAGTTATATGAAAACGCGATCACAACTTCAATACGTTAGGAAATACTTCACGATATCTTTATTCGGTCATATTTTGTAACATGTAAGACAACATCCAGCCTTAAGTAGGCCGCAAAATAATGATCGAACCACATGTAAAACACAAAAGAAGAAATTAGAACCATTTTTTTTTCGTATTGTGGCTTCTACAAAGCGGTTAGATTTTCTTGGTGAGTACTCTTTAAAAAGAACTCAAGTGCAATCAATAAGTTTAGTTCTGGCAGTGTGTAAATCAAATTCTTTGTGTCAGGGTTGACTTTTGATGAAATGTTTGACGTTGCGTGTCATCCGATTTGTCCGATTCCATAGTTTTCCTAAAAGTGTTTGCACGCCGCATATAGGCCGGTTGATGGTGTTCTGATTCGCGTAACCAATCCCAAATTCTTCTTTTGGTCTCTTTGATCGTAGGGTCCCGGTAGTCTTCAGGCAATTTCCCCTTTATATCTATTCGGATGTCTTTTTTCGAGCACGTAACAGGTCCTTTGTTTGCCAGCGCTTTCTTATGCACTGTTAGTCCGTGGTTGGTGGAGTTTATTGTGACTCCCGTGTTATTTGCTGTGTTTCCGCGTTGTCTCGTGTCGCTACTATACATGGGTGGAAGTTTTGTGAGCGGCCACAACTGTTTTTGGGGTTGCGTTGTTAGCTGGTTGTTTGAAAACATAATAAACTCACATATGGAAGGAAGGGTCGGTAAAGCGATCAGGTCTTTGCTGGTTGTTTTATCCTCTTGCCCCACATTTTCTTCTGGCAGAACAAATCGAACACGTAATGAGTCCGACGCATGAGACGAGGTTTTGCCTTGGTGGCTACTGTTCCTACGGTAGAAAGACCTCGATACTGAAAACTTCCCTCGTTGTATAGTTTTCTTCGGTGGTTTGTTTTCCTGCATCACTCAATTAAACTTGTGCTCATGGCTAAAGTTCCAATGACACAATTGTTTATCTGGCGCAAAATAAAACTATGCCTTTCTACTTAGTGACAAAAAGGGTGCAGACAATGGAGCGGTCTCTAAGAAAACAAGATTAATAATGCTAACAATTTGCATTATGATCAACAAAAGATGCGTCCCACAGGACGGTAAGCGAGCTGATAATATCAGAGAAAATTAATTAAACAACGAATCCACCTCGCAAATTAAACACAACGACTTAACTAAAGTCCAAGGGTTTGATGACTGTTCTCTGGGGATGAATTAACAATGTTGACGTCAGGGAAAGCATTTGAAACCAAAAACGCCGAAAGTGAAACTGACCGAAAATGCTTTAGAAAAAAGATCAGATTACATTAGAAGCTCCAAGGTTGCCTATGTGGCTGACATTGGCAATAAATATTTACGTTTATGGGTCCTGCATGTATGAGCTTTTTTTACGTGACTACTTCTTTGAAAACTAACCATCTAATTAACAAAAGAGAAGCCAAAACCTTAAAACATCACTCATAAAATGATACAGATAGAGGTTGCCAGTAGTGATTGAGATAAAATCAAGGGTGACAAAATTACTAGACTCCTACGCATCAATCTGAAAGGTAGCCAGATGCAAATTGTTCTGTGAAAAAAATGTAGTCATACACAACGTATCTACTATACCACTGACTACAGTTTGCGCAAAACTGTTGCGCACTTTTCGCAAATATGGAGACCTCTCCTGTCACAGAGCTGAGCTTTATGCCGACTTTTTCTTCAAACCAAGAATCCGAAGGAGATAAGACAAGCTTTGAAACCGCTGCATCGTCAGTTAACTGTTTTGCCGAGGTTGTTGTGACCCAAAATTACTCAGATATTTCAAGGTAAGTGTTCTCAGTTTTACAGCGAACGATCTAAAGAAAACAAAAGTTTGATTGCAAAGAAACCCCTTTGTACTGATTTCTCTAGATATTTGCAAACACTTTTTTTAGTAGTGACTCTTTATTAGAGCCCTAGATATATAACTAAATGAGGTTTGCGTAGTTTGAATTGTTGATAATGATATATGTACATGTAGATACTATATAAATAATGCTTAGCCTAACTCCGGTATGTACAATTATGCAATCATTTAGGCCATAATAATTTGTAGTTTTCTTTTGAGGTACGTGCCCATTGCCATCTCATATCCCTAGTATACATGCTAGTCTTGCGGTAAATGCAGACTATCTCATATTTAGCATTCACTCTAAGTGTAAAACTCAACAAAACATCTTGCATATAGTTGCTGCTTAATTATTATTTGGTGTGAGAGAAATGTTTTGGATTCATACATGTACAGTAGTAACCCATAACTCGTTGATTATATCTTGTGCTGATTAACAAATAACACCGATGTGTGAGCAAGCTCTCACAGGCATTGGGTTAAAAGCAATCACTTTGCAATGGACAAGAATGCAGACAATGCATGCAACACTCTCCACAAGCTCAATGTTTATCATGGCAGTGCCTACATGCTTGTTAACATGCTCAAACAATGAAGAAATTCTTTTCCTAATCAATTTTTCTATTCTGTAAAGTTGTACCTGTAATTATCAACAATGGACAGTAATTACTACATGTAGCGGTCAAACTGTTGCATGAAGACAAGCATGGAGACCTTTCAGTAGCCTTCTGTAAGGCTTATTTTACTTGAAGGAAAAGTATTATCAGCAAACGTTTTCAAAAGCAGTGCTATTTTACATCTTGAAATTAATTCTCCATTTTGGGTAAAATTTGTGCTGACAGTGGTGAATTCAAAACTACCCAAGATTAAAGCTCCTTAAAAATTACTATGGTTTGTGGTATGCTTTATTTCAAACTCATACTCAGTCGCCTCACAATTTTTGTACAATTTTGGTCAAAGCCGGTCATTGTCTGACAGCATGACATATAATTGAAGTTGAAAGAAATCTGCATGTAAGAAGATTCTTGGTACAAATGTCCTTACAACTTAACACGCGCTCAGATATAGCCATCAATTACAGTTAGTCAATACAATTCCACTATTGTCTTGTATATTACACTCACGGTAGTATACCAAACTGGCTACTGGTGAACAATGGCCCTTATAATGACAGTTTTACTTCTATGGAAAGAAAATTAAAAACTCCATTATAAACAATGTTAACACTGTATGCAGAAGGCTTTGACAGCAAAAAGTTTGGGTCTTTATCAACGGAGACCATGTTTTTTATGATTTCAAGCTCAGAAATCCTTTTGATTTCTGTCCTTAAATGAAACACAAATGTTATGTTGTTTTGCTAAGAGATACCTTTACAATGTATAAATTTTAAGAGTCTTGTTCCCCACTTTTTATTGCTAGCCAATCATTAAATAGAAATTGGTATACACCTTTTTGCTGCCAAACAACAATATATATCAAAAGACTGATAGTTTCTAAAGAAACTGTTGGGGGCTGCGTCGGTGGGGGTAACGAAATAATTTGAATATACTCAAAAAAGTTGAAATGGTAAATTGGCCACAGTAACGATTAAAAAAGCTGAAGTTTCTAGCGTTAGCCCTTCGTCAGAGCGAATAGAGGAATTGTGGGTTGTGTGTGCTTTTAAAGGCAGACAATGGAGCTACGTTATTGGTGGGAACATGGCAACGAGAAAAACAATTTAGTGGAATGAAAAGCATTCATAGATACCTGTGGGATTTAGACTGCCAGTTTGAAAGATGAGCTTTTGTTCAAGAGTTTTACGGCTTTCCGTGCTACCTAAGTGTAAGGAAAGACTGCAGATGCCATAATTATGTTGCTTAGAGTGATTAGGTAAATTAAAATGTCTAGCGACTGGTTTTGATGTGTCCTTGTCATTCCTCTCCACGTCACGAAGGTGTTCTTGGAATCGGTCACCTAGTCTTCTGCCTGTTCTGGTAGTGCGGAAAGCCGTAAAACTCTTGAACAAAAGCTCATCTTTCAAACTGGCAGTCTAAATCCCACAGGTATCAATGAATGCTTAACATTCCACTAATTTATTCATGTTTTTCTCGTTGCCATGTTCCCACCAATAAAGTAGCTCCATTTTCTGCCTTTAAAAGCACACACAACCCACAATTCCTCTATTCGCTCTGACGAAGGGCTAACGCTCGAAACGTCAGCTTTTATAATCTTAACGGTGGCCAATTTACCATTTCAACTTTGTTGATATATTCAAACTATTGCTCATCAGCATAATTGAAAGTGTAAAGGCTAAACTGTTTTCTTGTATGTGTGGTTTACTGCTTTTGTTTTATTTCCATTACACTTTGATTTAACTTTACTTTTCCTAACCTTATCAAGGAAGAACAAGACAGTTTTTAAAAACTCTTATGAAGACACTTTCCTGCTACATATTTGTGGTAGGCACTTACAGTAATAGTGTTGACTTTTCAAGTGAAAATTGTTCTCCATAAAAGCTCTATTTTTATATATATATATTCAGTGCTTTCAATAGGACCTGGCACCCACTGGAGCTCCGGTAGGTATTCTGTTGTGAGTCACTGGGTATATTTCACCGTGCTAAATCACGGTCACCACAATCAAGTCGCACTCGAGTCGCTCTCCGGCGGGTGCTGTACTGAGGTAGCCACCTATTTCAAATCTTATTGAAAGCACTGTATATATATATATATATGTACTTTTAGTGTATTTTATTACAAGCTATAATTATGTCATGACCTTTAAGGAAAAAATTTCATGGGCACAGTATATACAGTGTGTATGTGTGATTTTCATTTTTAACATAATTATGCCCCTAGTACCAAGTTCTGTTTAACTTAACATGACTGTGATGGTTTATTGTGAAAGCACAAGGGTGGTCTCTCATACTGGCCAATACATGTAAATGTAGCATCAATTAATGTAGAGCATTACAGGATACAAATGCAGAAATTATATAAATTTCAAGACTAGTTGCACACTTAGCCCCAAACCACAGACTGATAGTTTAAAATCCCTTTATTTTGTTTGTCCAAGGAGTGTTACAATACCAGGTAATGGAGTGGCAACATTTGCTGTTAGTTCAAGTGGAGCCCTCACCTGTCCAGGTAAGTCAGTGTAGATCCTGCCGTGCACAGTATTTTTCTTTGATTTGTTAAAAACAATCAATTCTCTCTAATATGGACTTGTAAAGGACAGAGTGAAGTATCCATACCAAAGGTTACCATTTTACAAGGGTAATGGTAATGAGATCATTTATAAGACTCCATTGACAAGTTAAAGTGTCCAGTAACTAGAAAACAGACACACATGGATTTTTATTGATATCCTTTACTGAAAAGATGTCTCACAGAAGAAGAAAACAAACTGAAACACCATGATGCACCATTAAAAAAACAATTTGTGGCTTCAATGTTGAAAATCATCATTTAACAGTTTATGAGACCAGCAAATGATAAGTAAAGGGAAATGTTTTGAAAAACTATATGTTATATAACTATATGTTATATTAAGTCCTCTATAAGTTTGTAACATCATCATTTGAAAGAAAGAAAAGTTCTTGGTGTTTAGTGTATCATTGACAACAGGTCAGTGACATGACTTGCACACTTTTAATTTGCTATTGATTAGATGGTTTTATATACATTTTTTGTCTTGATTGGCTAACTGCTAAAAAAAACAGCAGTTTCCTTTGTAAAGTCTAGTTTTGGTGAATGAAAGGTTTGCGTTTGTGTAACTGCAAATAAGAAATTTCATCACGTACATTGTACACCTGGCCCCAGTTGTTCAAAGGGGAGATAATGCTATCCACTGGATAAATCTCTATGCGGTGGAAAGCGCAGTACATTTTGTTAACACTTATCTGCTGGATAGTGATTTATTCACTGGATAGCATTACCTGCTCTTTGAACAACGGGGCCCTGATCACCATACTGCTTTTAATAGAAATTTTTTTTATACTCCCTGGGGCTGAGATCTAGTACCCTTCCTCTTTGTAAGGAATGGTGCATATTACAGACTGAGGTTTATTCAAAAGTAAATGTTATGCCAATATTTTGATGGGATATCAGAAACTCTGCGGTGTCCATATTAGAGAGTTGTCTGCAAAGGAGGGTTTGTCATTAAAATGAAAAACATTTCACAGAAGTAAAAGTATAAATTTACAGCCTAGGGATATCTTGCTACAATATAAAAACCTGAATTGAACTGATGTTGTATTAAAGATGGGCATGAATGCTGTCATTGTACTTACTACTATTTTCAAGGTACCATGAATGGCAATATAACAATATAGTGATCAATATAACATCATGTTCGTGTAGACAAACAGTTTTGTTTTACGAATGAACCAATTTAACTTGGCAGCCTGATTGCCTCGATGCTCTTAGCACTCTGATGATTGAAGACTGATGTACATGTAACAAGGAAATGTAAAGTTGCCCTATGCTGATGACATACAGTTGAAGTATTAAAAAATGGATGCAGCACTCAAAAAAAGTGCTCCTCTTATAGAAAAACATAGGGAATGCTACATCAAAAACTTGAAATGTTCATGCTTTGAAAATGGGACAGTCAAGGAAAACCTGAATGTTTCATGTGCGAGAAAATGTGAGCCATTTGTGGCCCTTCCTTGAAAGGGTACAATACAGTATTGATTCCTCTTGTTTCAAGGTGCTGTGCTTAACAATCAAGTCACAGTTGTGACAGTTCCTGAAAGCCAGTTGTTTGCTGTCCAGCAACCGGAGCAAGGTGATTCAATTCAACAAGAAGCTGACCTAAACAGTGAAGATGATGTTACTTCTGTCACAGCCAGTGCATCAAATGTCACTGATCCTAATGAACTAACCATAAATGTGCTACAGCCTTCCACTTCTCTCCCAGATGGTAGTGTGTTAGCAGAGGAAGCATCAAACACTGCACCCACAGAAGTTAAGGTGAGAGATGTTTTTTCTTGCATAATTATTAGTAGACTGAGCTAAATTTATTAACATTTCAAATACTTAATTTACTTCCTGAACAACACTATCCTTGGAGTTTGCTCATTAGTAATATCCAGTGTTGGTGGCATTAAAACTTGCGTATCTTTTATTAGATCATTTTCCAAATCCCTTTAATTCCATTTGGGATGCCTCAAATAGTTCTTCATATTTGTTTACTAGATAAGAACCATTAACTGAAGATATTTTTTTTCTCAAGCATCTCACTGAGCTGAAATGTTTAATCCTTGAATCTGATTGGTGAATTGCACTCTCCTAACTATATTAGCTTGTAACAATACAGACAACAGACTGGAATTGTTCTATGCCATTTCAAGCAAGGGGGTAGAAAGAAAAACCGCAGGAAAAAATGCACCAGTTATTACCCATCTAGTTCTGTGGGTATTGGATGACTCTGTGCCCTTGATCTTTAGTACAGCCCTTGTCCCTCAGCCTCAGCCCATATCAAGATCTTTGGCGCAGTTTTTTCTTTACCATATGGACCCCCTGCACATAAAATAACAGATATACTAGTTGCACCTTATCGTTCTTTTCTACTTTTTCCAACACAGAAAAGAAAAGGTGGTTGGCCTAAAGGTAAAAAAAGGAAGAAAGAATTTGGTGATTTGAATAAACCAAAAGCTCCAATTACTGGGTATGTACTCTGTTAGCTTACAATTGAATTGTCATACGTTGAAATGTAAAGATCAACTAACAAATTACAAATTTTAACGTATGTGGCCATGAGATGCTACAGTCAGGCATGTGCAAAAGCAGGAATTATACCCTTTAAATCCCACACTTTATGAGCATGTAGTTTATTCCAGCAATTTCAGTGCATTTAATGTAATTTAAAGTAGATTGTTCATTAATTTTAATCCAGAAAATGGAAAAGAGACTAACCACCCCCCGGTTAGCTCAATTGGTTAGAGCGCCGGATTGTGTTGTGCAGGAGGTCAAGGGTTCAAGCCCTGGCCAGACCAATACTCGTGGTCTTAAAATAACTGAGGAGAATTTGCTACCTTTCTATAATATCAAGAAATGGATAGATATTCTAGTCTTCTCGGATAAGGACAAATAAACCGTAAGCCCCGTCTCCTGCAGGGTTAGGGGTAGGAGATGTTAATTTCCCACGCGCGAGATTACTGTGTGGTGGATGTCCTCCCCTGGGGTGGGATGGGTGGGTTTACTGGGCCCGCAGTAATTGGCGTAAGCTGTTGCGGTGTCCCTGCCTGTTGGCGAATCTAATAAATTAAAATTAAATTGATTGAACTTGTCAGCTTTTGGTCTTAATTATCTCATCATGCTCACTTTATTACTTTTACAAGGAGAAATATAGCTATTGCAAGGAAGATTTCATCATAGGATCTTTGAAGTAAAAAGTTCCATTTTTCATCTGACTCCCTTGGAATCCAGTTGCCGCAGGCCTATTATCATTATGTATTTTTACATGTATGGAGGATGTAGCTAAATCACTGAATTTTTGTAGAACCTTGTAAATGACATAAAATGTAGCCCACCTATTGACTATTTGGAAGTTTTAGTTTTGTTGAGCTCTTATCTTACTCAAAATAAGTGGTGTTGTTTATTGGTTTATAGGTATGTGAGGTTTATCAACAGTCGACGGTCTGAGGTGAAACAACAACATCCTCATCTACAGTTTTCAGAAATAACAAAGATACTTGGCTTGGAGTGGAGCAATCTTCTGCAAGAGGAGAAACAGGTAATATTAAAAAGAAAGATAAACAGTCAAAGGAAAAATGTTTTCATTATGATAATGATTAGGGCAACTACATAGTACACTTATTACCATATACATGTAAAACCTAATACAAGAATGTTAGCTGCTTGTGCCTGTCCTAATGTTCCCAATGTACATTAAACACTACAGTACATGTTCTATTTCATTGTGACCAAGCTCCCTATTATCGGGTGAGTGAACCAGAACTGACTGATTACAAAGCTTTTCACTTTTTTCCTTCTTTCTCTAAACTGCAGAACACTGTAGCGATTCAATATCTACAAGAATGAATTTATAGTGTACTTGTTAAATATACAATAACTTACTTATACTTTTGTATATACCCATGTAAAACACAAGATCCCTTGAGCTTGACAGCAAATTTTCACCCCTGCCTGTGGGGGTCATACATGAATCATAAAAAAAATGGTAAAAAAGTACATCTCTTACATACTTGATTCATCACTGATGTGGCAGAAAAATTAATGTGCATGCCATGGATGAGAAATTTCTCTGAAATGGTAAGTTACACTAAGCATTAACAAATAAATCAAACCATGAACTGCCTCATTAATTACTTCCAAAACTTAGGGGATAATCTGTTTCTATTCACATTGAGAAACAATTTGTCTTTTAACCTTCCATTTCATTTATTTGGAATGTCCAGAAATACTTGGATGAAGCAGAAGAAGATAAAAAGCGTTACATTGAAGAACTTAAAATTTACCAACAATCTGAACAGTACCAAGCATTTATAAAAAGACAAAGTGCCAAGAAACTCAAGTCTATTGTCGGTAAGCCATGTTTATTTCCTGCCAACTCTGTCTCAGACAATGCTTTATGATACTGTTCATGTAATGTAACATGTCTGTAAATGTTTGTAAACCAGTAGACAGCATGATCATTTTGTTTAGTGTTGCATGCATGTACATTTACCATTGACAAGTTTAAGGTGCATTAGTAGTTTTCAATTTTTCCTTTGAAAAAGATAGCATTGAATTATGGGTTCTATAGTGTAGGACAATGTTCAAGGGACACAAACTTAATTCTGTCTTAAAAGTTCATGTTTGATTGTATCAAGAAGAATTGTTATAAATCTGACCAAGGCAGAGACCATTACTTAATTAAGGCAAGCTGTCTTGTTCAGGTTATTGTGTCATCTTTATGACTCACCAGCTCTGCTCTGGAATTTCAAATGTTAATAATGTATTTCCATATGTATATTTCAGGAGTAGATACTCCTGAAGAAGTGTCCTCCAGCTTGTTGTTAAGTGAGCAAGTGGTAAGAAATCTTTGCAACATTTTGGTGCATATTTAACTGAAGGATCCATTAGGGCATTAATGGTAGTCCCTTGACTTTTCCTTGTTCCGACTGTAGCCACAGTTTTAGTTGTCCACAGCCCTCTATAATTATGATAGGGTTCTTTTAAATCTTTGAAGGATTTTAGAGAATCATGAGTAACATTCAGTGAGGTAGAATGGCACAACGGGGAGGGAAATTTGGCATTCATTTGCTCTTCACTGACCACCCCTACATAGTTGCTTCATTCACAGTTTCACTCTAAGAAAATCATGTGAAGGTGCACTATAGGTGATAATTCAAGTTACCTACTAGGAACTGAGGGCTTGGAAAAATATACAGTACACTTGTACATGTAATATTTTGGTATTGCAATAATGCAGAGTTGATTGTTGAAGTTAAGACTTAGTAATCAGAGATTGCATGCTTTAGGTTTTTCTTTGTTATACTCTGTGATTGCTCAAGAAAACTTTTGCTAACCTCTCCAACAATGCAAAAAATTAAACCAATCTTGACTTGTTTGCTTTCCTTTTCTCCTACTTAGAGCTTTCACATAATTTTTGTTTACTTGAAGTTCTTGTTGGCTCTTTGCCAAATTTCCTTGGTTTCTGATTTACTGTCATGGCTTACTTCGTTAAATTGGTTTTTTATGTTTCTCTGAAACCCAATTCAGCATAAAACAGTAGGTCTCTGCATAAGAAGTACATGTATGGAGTTTGTGGAGTTATCTCATCCCTAGAGTCCTGTAATGATGTGTTTAGTATAAAGTTGAATTTTAAACATCGAAATTGGGCCGGTGAGAAGCACTCTACCCAGTAACCCCTTTTGAGGCTGAGGACACAGAGTCACTTTTTTTCACAAAAATATTATACAGCCATCTGTGATTATGGAGACAGCCAGTCTGAAGTTCCTGTGTCTTTTACCTCTTTAGGAAGATGATTCCAATGAATTGTACTGCAGAGTTTGCAACCAGTTCTTCAGCTCCTTACACAACAAGAAGGAACATTTATTTGGAAAACAGCATCTTTTGATGCTTACAGGAGAATTTGAACGTGAAGCTGAACAAAATGCTAACGGCACAGAGAAAGTTTCCAATGACTCTCCTGATCTGGCCCCTTGTAACACAGTCTCAGATACCGTAGGAACATCACTGATATCAAATGAATCAATGGTGTCTATCTCACAGTTTACAGAAAAGTTCTTGGAACAAAACTTAAGTAAGAAAGTATGATGCACCTTAGTCTTTAATTTTAAAAATGAGGACTTCGGTTTTATTGAACATTCTTGTAAGCTAGTTATCAGGGGAAGGTCATTCGAGTGTTCCTCAGTTTAAGCTGGCTGTGGCATATTCAGTTACGATAAATGCAGTAGACTAATCGCATGGAAGCTGAAATACACATATGATGAAATAAAAGTGCATAAAATAAAATAATGATAACTGTGACTGCAATAATATATATGGCGGGAGTGGAAGATGAGAAGGGACTTAATAGAGGGATTCTTTGAAGAAAAAAGGGGGCTTGCTGTGGAGATTAAAATGGATAATTTAAAGTGCACTCTCCATATCTAATTTTCAGACAGAGAACTGGAACTGAGAGAGCTTAGAAAAGTGGTCCTCATGTCGCAGGAGGAGAACATGACACTCAATAAAGACATGGAAGAGCTTAAGGTAGTTTTTAACTGTGTTTTACTTAAGCCAGTGAGAAAAATATCTTTTCTACAAGTGTATATAATATAATCTTAATTATATTTCTTGTATTTTAGAATTTATTACAAAAAGTTGAAGATGATCTTGGGTCAGTCAAAGCCTATGGAGCGTCACTTACAGCTCAACTTAATAGCTTAAGGATGGTGCCAACTCTGTTTGGGGTAATTAACTTTTAGATCCGACCTTGAAATGATACTTCACAACTCTACCATCGAGGACCGCTCAACTTCGCTCTTTGGTACTGAAATTTTTAATTGTAACCGGTAATTACGAGGAACAACGCAACAGTATGCAGCCGTATAAGAAAGACTTGAAGTATTGCAAAGCAATGAGGAAACGAGTTCGTGAGCGTTTGGGGTGTACACGGTTACCTGTGACCAACCACGATACAAACATGTCTGTGCCTTCTTGTGGCAGGCATTCTTAAACTTCAGGATAATAACTTTCAAACACAATTTTTTTTTTGTATATTGTTATAGTTCTGTTTCATCATGCATGCTTTGCCTCGCAGCCTTGACCAACTGTATGTTTATCGAATAGCGTAAGTACGTATCCTAAAGAAAGTTACATACTTCTCATGGAAACAGGGGAAAAGAAAGTGTCTAACATTTCTTTGCCAAGTGTACCGGCTTTTTTCTCTCCCCAAGACAGTGTTGCATCAAGACATCACTTTAAAGATGAGTGCCTGGTAGGCCTTGAATGGACAAACAACTGATTCAATCACGTTCTACAGAGGAACATAGAGCATAAAACTGAGAAACCCTCCAGTGACTTTATACAGTAATAGTTTTGTGTCGCAAAAAGAAATATTCAATCATATTTGTGTTATATCTGAGGCTACATAGAGCTTGTTCGTTGAAGTGAATCGTGCAACCTCAATTAACCAATATAAATAAAGCAGTATTTCGTGAAGTTTTTCGTTGGCTCCCGGCCTCTCGTCTGTAATGCCTTTAAGGGCCTTCCGTGCAGTCTCGGAATTCCGCTGAAATACGGAGAGTGCGAAGGGAATGAAACTCTTTGGTCTAGCTGTTACTGGGTTAAAAATAACCTCTAGAAGCCACTAAAAGTGTGTACGGCATTCACACCTTTGACATTAAGATATGAACTGAAGCTAACATTTCGATATACACGTAAGGCCCCTGCGTGGGATTGCTGTAAAAAAAAAAATAAAAAAAAACGATCAATTCTTCGCATCCTTGCCCCTCTCTACTTGCATAGCTTCACATTTCCAATTAGGACATTGAAAATAAGTACTGCAATTGAAGAGATTCCATAGAATAACACATTTATGATCTGTATACATTTGAAAGATGCTGTATGTTACTCAGTAACAGAGGCGGGGCAGAAACAAATTCCTTATTAAGAGATGCTGCGGGATATTGATAATTTAATGGGAGGGCCTCTATAAAAAGTTAGTAACGTTATTATGAACATGATCAAAAACTATTCATATTGTGCGAGGTTTTAGAAAAAGGTCAAAGACCTTGTTTAGGCGCTAGTTTACCACCCAGAAAGAACACTCGAGCCCTTGTCATGCTCGTTAGTTTTAAGTGACAAAGATTTGCTTGCGGAGTGTTTTGATTGGTAATATCGCGCAAACATGAAAACCTAATGGTAGAGTAATCCTTCAGGTGTCAACTGAGAGAAATTACTTGCATTGTTCCTTAATTTGTTGAGAGCTACGATTCAACGCTTTGATTTCCTGAAATCAGCGAGGGTGAGGTCATTATCTACCCATGGGTCTCAAAATATTGCTACACGCACAACTAACGCCCAATATTTGTAAGATTTACTTGTTTATGGCCTTCTTCAGAGAATATGTTGAGAATTCTAAGCGTGAAAAAACGATAAACATTGCTATTAAATTGAGCACTACAAATGAAATCTGGCGTACGCTCACTTATGATGCATGTGAGTGGCTAGTGTTGGTTATTATATTGCACTTTAAGTGTATTTGAAGGCACCAAAACTGTTTACTTATGTGAAAGGAAAACTACCTTTCTATAAACTTTGTAATCATTTTTCCAAGAGGGTACATGAACCCATTTAAAAGTGTCATTTTGTCTAGCTACTAGTTTCCTTTTTTTTGGCTTTCGTGCAATGTTGATGTCACAATGATGTCCTTACTCGCCACAACCCATTTCAAGATATTGAAACTGCAACGAAAAAATTAAATCTTAACCTTTTTGCCCAGCCTTACTAATACCACTCAGTCAGATTTTATCCATTAAGCTTAGACATCATACTGGGGTTATTATTCAAGTTATTTTTACTCTGTTATTTGAAGTGAAGAACACAGTATAGTGTCTCCAAAGAAAAACTGTAATGTCAATTTAAGTTCATATACCGCGATTGAATTACTTTTTCGTCGAAGGTGTCTATCCAGGCTTACTAGAAAGGAGTCTTTATTTAAGTACAGATCTGGTACTGTAGTGACACACTTTCCTCAAGAAGGGGTCAAACTTGATTTGACGCATTGATTCTTTTGTAATCACTGATTCTAAACTGATTAGATGGACAATGCATTCGAAGCATCCCAAATGGGATAAACGTGTTCAAGGCCTAGCGAATTTTACATTGTCATGTCCGCACTCGCTCGCACCATTTTTCTATGACTGTTAATTGGCTAAGCCTCTTGAAGCTTGCTCTCAAAAATTTTCCCACACCGATACGTGCTGTGAATACATCATTTACTTTACATAAATTAAAACAGTGGAAGAAAGCAGGATCAATAAACCTATTTAATTTCATGCAACAGTGAGACGTATTGTGCACTATCTTAAGCCCCATTGGCTATCGTTTTAAACCTCAACGTTGAATGGAAAACAACCAAAATAACCATTGTTGTGTTGTTGACCGTAACGCCCAAACGCTCCAGGTTAGCTTGCGTTAAGTGAAGTATACTTGACTTCTATCTTACGCTGAAGTTTTGCGATCACACGCAAGTAAGTCTTACGTCGCACAGGACCAAAATTCTTAATTTGAGTACGCTGCTTACTTCGTGGACTTTATAAACCCTGATTCCGACTCAGTGAACCCTTTCAAGAGACGCGGAACTGGATTGCACGGTTTGCAAGGTACTCAGCCCCATAAAAAGCCTGTGGTTTGCCTTTGTAATTACCGTTTATTCGGATCACGCAAGTTGGGAGCAAGAAGGTACGAAGAACTATTGTGAAATTTCTTTGCTTCTTTGTGGTTCAGAAGGGGTATGCCAATGCCGTGAAAACATTTACAACTAAAACAAACCATGCTTCGAGATTACTGTCGACATCTAACTGTACAAAATTATTTTTCAATGTATAATTATTACAACTGTTATTCTTAACGTTATTGTTCTCCATTTTGAAAACAACCTTCAGGCTTTCGTTTTTGGTCGCCTAGGACACATTCTGTAAGATAAAATGTCAAGCTCATTTATTCCTATAAAAGCACCACGCATACTTCTTGAACTTTATACTGGCAGCCCTTCAATGGCTCACGCAGTTCTCCTCAGCTGAAGAGCAAATCTGCATATTTCCGTTTTTTCAGTTAAAAAGTTCGATTAAGAGTCTTTCTTCAGTGGTTTTGACTGGGTGGTACTGGGTAAATAACCACACTTTTGAATCTTCGTTAACGGAGTTGTTGTCCTTGTTTCTTTATCCGACAGCGAACATTGAAGTCCCCACTCAGGCTTGATCAGAAGTTGCAGCTCAAGACTCCACCGAAAAGTAAACTTCTGTTTTTAAATTGTTACACGTAAGGCTAGTAGGGTTATCTCTCTTAATGACAAAAAATCTGTATCATGTTCAAGCAGAAGCCTATGACCTTGAATTCTAGGCCATAAGCTTCTGATTCAAGTCAATGACATTATAGTGCAGCAGTACCCGTGTCACTTACTTTTGACATGCCCACTACTTGCATCATGTTTATGTATCATCTTGTTTTCAAAGTTAGATATTTTTCTTAGGGCCGAAAGTCACATCGACATTCAAGAGGAAATTGTGCTGCAGGACGTTTATCTATTACTTCATTTGCACAGATTGATACGTAGGTTAACGGATTTACACAGTGGTTCTTGATTTGCCATTAAATTTCGGTGGATTTACTGTTTCAAACGCTCGTAACTTACTGCGCAACAGTGTCGGGTCAACATGTCGTTTCCAGTGATTTATTTTTAAGTAAAACTTAGTTTTAGCGCTGCTCGGTGTGTGCGCTGTCATGAATGCCATTTTCAAAAATCTTTTCTTTTTTTTTTTTATCTCACTGAACTAAAATGAATCCAGCGAGATTTCTGGTTAAGTGGAATAAAACCACGAAATAATAGCTTGCGAGAGGGTACCTGAGTAGAAGATGCGGGTAGGGCTAACGTTCGAAACATTAAATAAACGTTTTAAAAACTTTTAATGGTGACCAATTTACAGTATCAACTCAGCTGATAAAACCAAATTATCTTAGGATGGTTGTGGAGATTAAAAGATAAACTTGAACAGTTAAGACCAAATTTATTTTCAAGCGGTAAAAGCTATGACCCGTAACCTTGAAGTGTCCAATTCGAATTACCAGGTAGCGAAATTAAGATGCTAGAATAAACCAGAAAGGCTAAGGGAATTTTAAGCATGTTGAAAGAGAAACTTAGGTCCCACCTCCAGAGTTTTCCTGCTCCATGGACGCGCTCGCCCTTTTAATGTAAACTGTTTTTAAATTCTTCTTAGAACAATTGAAAAGTTAGCTCGGCTAGGATACTCGGGAGCAGGTTTGTCTCAGGTACTCGACACCATATAAATGGGCTCTAAAAGCTGTACTTTCAAGTAATAAAAGCTACGACGCATGTTGCAGAGGAGATCAGAGCAAGATTTTTGCGGGGTGGACTTTTCTTCCTATTGAACTTGAGCAGATTCTTTTAAAGACTTTCTGTTACTTTGGCAATCGGTTTTATCCAGCGAAACTGATAACAAGGTCCACTAATACAACCACTGATATAAAGCTTTCAGATTAACTTATTTGAATCCTTCACTCCAACTAATACTTCTTGCTACGCAGTTTGTACAACAATAGAAAACATCATTATGTCCTAACAAAGAAAAAATATGATATTAGCTCCCTGTAGTCAGTAGTCCGTGAGGAAAGAATTTAAAGTTCATTGGTCATCACTTACGATCTTTCATGATATGTGAGGTTTGAAAACTTTTCTTTTGTGTGTTTAGTTTATTCCCTTTTTTTTCATTTCTGTCGTTCAAAGCCTTCCATCATCTCCAAATGCTAGTCTCAGAGCCAAAGCTGACGTGCAAAGATATTTTGACAAACGAAATTCTTGCTTGTTTCAAAAAGTTTCAGTAAAGTTAGAAATAATGTTCTTTTCTTCACTAAACAGTTTTGTTGAAAGGACTGGAACAGTGCGAAAATCAGTGTAATTACGCGGTTTTGAGTGGTTCTATATTGCAAAGATAGAAAAGGCTTCTCAGCTTAAGTGCACCATTTGCCATTGCCGTGACATAGTTTAACAAAAGGGTCGATAATTGAGTATTTCAGTGCAATCATACCAGACGTGCCAGAAATCATGAGAGTGCGGAAAAAAACATGATGTCAATTATGGTATTTCACGCACTTGTCTTCTCACGTGTCTCCTCACGAGTCCACTTATGTTCTTACGTAACCGCTCGTGATGGGGACCTCAATATAAGTTTTTCTAGGAGGCAATAGATATTGGTATCCTTCATTGAATTTGATTGTCTCTTGCATGGCGGATACATCTCTTAAAGCACTCTCACTCAAGATTGCTTTTCTTTCCCCAAAAGGTGAAGCAACTTGAGTTATTTGTTTCGTCGGCTTTTTTCAGCATTGACTGAATAAAGTAGCTGACTGCTTTGTTTTGAAGTTTTTCGTTACCTGTGTATTACTTGTCTAGGTTATTTGTTTGTTTATCTATTATTAATTGTTAGGGTTTATCTTGTTTGTGTTGTTTACTTTTTCAACCAACTGATTTGCAATTACAACGTTCCAAACCTTATAGACAGTGTATCATATTGTGTCCGTCGTAAAGCAGCATATGATGAGCAACTTTTTCCAAAACAATGAGCTGGTTTTATATTAATTACAAGAGAAAGAAACTGCTTCCGAACTCCAAACCACTGGATCACATGTCGGGAGTAGAAAGTAACATAGGCCAATATATTACTTTCATTTGGTAGGATAAGAAGTACTTCATTGTATTCAATTAAGATTCAGATGAATAGTTTTCCTTATTGACTCTATTGAAGAGTATATCAAATCGTCCTTCTAAAGATAATTGCAAAATAAATTTTTAGAGATTGCTTATCCGCGCAACTCAAATGTTATTGGCACGCATCCAATTCAGACTGTCCCTGGCCTTAGACCCTGAATTCCGCTTCGGAGAGCTTTCAACTAATCACGGAACACTTGTGTGTAAATTGTTTGAATTTTTTCAAAATTAAAAAAAATAATAAAATCAAAGATTCATCTACCCAGGGGGGACTGTGCTCTTTCCTGTCGCCTCTCCGAAAAGGTCTTACAACCGCAGACAAACCAATACACATCGCTTTAAATAGCAAGTAAAGAGTGTGTTCTTGTTTACCTCCAGGGATAACTAAATATACTGATGTTTTAAAAACTAGATGATCTGTGATCAATCCTTCTTTGACATGGTCCTTCCATTATTGGGACTCATGACCTTTTTGCAGTCATGATCAAGATGTATGTTCTCGTTTCAATGTCAATTACTTATCGTGCTAGAAGCTGACGAGAAGAAGGAATCTTATCTTTCTGCTTATATTGTCTTCGTGTACACCTAACTATCAAAATTGTCACCACAAGAGGTAGATGGCAATCACCTGGTCGTAGCATTCTTGCACCACATCCGCTGACAGTTGTCGTGTAAGAGATTGTGACTTTTGTTAATATACGCGTGAAATTTCCATTGTTCGTATTAAATTTTGTGGTTAGCATTTGTTATAATACCGCTAGTTTGCTCTGGCGAATCTGATGGCGTCAAAGAGAGCCAGTTATAGGAGTGGAAAATAAACAAAAGGTCATTATTGCCCATTAGTTTCGTCCGCCGCCCAACCGTGGACTGACATATGCATTATTACAAAGTCCCATTCAAACAAATCGTCTTTTCTTCGCTCGCGCTAAATGTCTTCTTGCGCTCACCCGCATTTTACAAGGTACTTCAAAGATTTGACATCTGTGAGATGTTGGATGGGAGACTTGTCCTAAAGGCTTATCCTAGCACTCGCTCTCCATGATATTTCAAACCATGAATGCAGTAACGCTAAAGCATCACATAGATATTGGGTTAAGATTTATGCACTCTTAGTGAAGTTTTTTTGTTAGGCTCGCATAAATAAAGGCGCCCTTCTGTCGACGCACTGACGTGTCTCTTTGGAATCAAGTGCTTTTCTTGTTTAGTGACCCAATTGTCACGGCAAAGTTAGCTTCTAAATGTTTGAGGAGTAGACATGTTATGTTTAATCCATCTGTAAGCATCTAAGATACTAGAAGTATTGAGACAAAAGGATCCATAGTTGAGAGATAAAACATGAAATGTTTATTGTTTTGTTAACAGATAATGCCGAAGTATATCCGTCTGGCTGCGATTTGGTTGTTCATCCTTGCCTTTCAACTTTTCCAGAAGCCAGTTACGTCCACACACATGTGCCGTTATAAAAGATACAAAGAGTTCATTTCGGTTAAAGATGGTTACAACTGCAAGAAAACGAGGGTAAAACTGGGTATGTGTGTTGGAACATGCGAGTCATACGCAATCCCTCTTCCCATCGAGCGAGAAGACAGCCAGCCGAGATTTAAAATTGGATGCCAGTGCTGTGCACCGAAAGAAATTAAAGAGAAAACTGTGAGATTTGGCGAAGGATGTGAGAAATCCATAGTGGTTTCCCAGATTCGCTCGTGTGAGTGCAAAAACTGCTCTCGACGTGATCTTTGAGGACAGAGACGGAAATGGCATTAGCGCGTGGGTAAGATATCGTTACAGACCTGTACATCATTATAAGAGTCAGGAGCCAATCATTTAAGTGAACCTCAGTAAAACTACCGCGATTGCAGTACATTGGCAAAGACGGAATGTTTCGTCAAGACGTCTATTGTAAAATTAATTACTTTGGGGATGAAAACAAGACGAGATTGATCTGAATATGCTAGCTTTTTAGTCGATTACACGAAAATGAATGACAATATTTCTCTACTTTCTCAACATGAGGAGGTACACTTTTGTTTAGCGAAATAATAGTAGAGTTTGGCCACAATCCACCGCGAAACATCCTTCGAGAGGTTGACAAAAGAAACTTTCGTGTTCAAAGACTGAGTAGTATATGATTGATTGGAACCCAAATGTTTATTAGGCAGACCACAAAAGAAAGCTGGCTGGAGGCAAAGGTGGCATAATGAACTATTGTTTTGTGTATTTAGCACTTGGCTGATTCCAGAGTAAAAAAAAAAACAGCCAATAAAATGCTTAAGGCAAGAAATATTGATGTAACCCCAACTACAGCTTTTTAGTTTGCTATACACAAATCGAAAGAAACCGCAAACTTATGGTGTAAATAGTAAATATATCTTATTAACCAAGCGCGAGGGCCGTACTGGGAGAATATCGGCCCGAGGTCTTGACAGTACGGACCGAGCGCAGCGAGGTCCGTACAAAAAAGACCAAGGGCCGATATTCTTCCAGTACGGTCCCGAGCAAGCTTGGTTAATAAGAGATTTATTATGCGACTGAAGTTCAAAGGGACACAAGTGCGGTATCATTCGGGACCATTCGGGACAGTGCCCGGTCCAATACTGAGAGGATATTGACCGGCAATAGAGCATTTTGATTGGTTTATTTTAGTTATTGGCCCTCTGACTGCCCGAGTCGAGTAATAAATAAATTTATTACGTTTTACTTCTCGTATGCGGCTTTTTTGTTATTGTTATTTACTGAAAGTACTGTTTCCCTTCTTGTTTTCTGGCCTTCCAAACTACAGGGGTCAAAAGTTTTTGGTTCAACTTTAAAGAAACGAAGGAAGAGAAGAGTTCGCCAACGAATAATTACCCACGTAATATTGGTTTTCTCTTTGTTCTCTACAGTATCGCAAAAATCGTAGTAACTCTTAGAAAAGTCAGGTGATGATGATGATGAAAATAATAATATGATGATGATGATGATGATGATGATGATGATGATATTTTTCCGCTGTCGGAACGTTTAATTTAACGTTGTCTGAGGAAGAAACCTCGTTTTAATGCCTAAGTCAGCATTGAAGATGCCTCTTCCTTTTTTGGAAACATCACTGTCGTTACGGCAACAACGTCATCTGACGTTGTCTCTTGACCTTCCTCAGAGTTCAAATTTACATTAGATCGAGCTCAAAGATATTTGACGATGAGCTTTGAGCAATTGTTGCATTTCAACTTGAGTAACTACTGATCGACTCCGTCAGTACCACGGTTTAACAAAGGAATAAATCGTCGAATAAATCTGTGATGTACTTGAGGGAGAAGAGGCTCAACTAATCGAATCTCTTAGCTGACTCTCGAGAAGAATCTTGCCGCAAAAGCGTTTTCATGATGTTGAACTATGACATACTTCAAAAATGATGTTTGAATATGAATCAAATATGCCTTTGGCTCAATCCTAGGATCTTGGCTTAATCACTGGATCTCCCTCAAAATATCATCATTATCATAATATCATTTTCATCATCACTGTTATCATAATTAACATTTCTCGTTGGCTTTCACAATCACAGCTGTTGAAACGATGTTGTGCTTTGACGTCATTTTGTTAGCGGAAAGTGCTGGTGTAGAGATTATTCCATGAAAAGAGCGCACGAACGATTTTTATTCGCGAGTTGCGATTCATCAAAAAAAAACAACCAATGAGTGAGTTTTTTGATGCATGGCAACGAATGAACAAAAATCTTTCAAGCACTTTTCATGGTCTGATGTTTTGATTTCGTACATACTGAGATTTTTTTCTTACTGACCGACACATTTCAAAGATTGGAAGCGAATGACTGTGAAAATACATCATTTGTCCAGTCAGAGACACGAACGATTGTACTTCACAGCGTAAATCTTAGTATGTATGAAATAACTATTTTATTATACATTATCGATATACTCAGTTATTAATGATTCTTAATATCCTTCACCCCGGCCAAACTTAAAGCCAGGTTTGAATACTCATTATACGCTACGGATATACTCAGTTATTTATGATTCTAGCCTGCAGTGCCGGCGTATTTTGGGCGCACGAGTGCACATTTTCGTATTAGGCCGCCATCTTAGATTTGGTAACTGTGGAGGATTGGGGCGAGGAAATATTTGCCGAGGGAGTAGGTGTTAAGTGGAAAAATGGGCAACGGGGGAGAGGGAGGGGAAGGAAAAACTTCTTTCCTCTCCCCCGTTGCCCATTTTTCCACTTAACACCTATACTCCCTCGGCAAATATTTCCTCGCCCCAATCCTCCACAGTTACCAAATCTAAGATGGCGGCCTAATACGAAAATGTGCACTCGAGCGCCTAAAATACGCCGGAACTGCAGGCTATAATGATTCTTAATATCCTTCACCCCGGCCAAACTTAAAGCCAGGTTTGAATACTTATTATACGCTAAGGATATACTCAGTTATTAATGATTCTTACCATCCTTCGTTCCGGCCAAACTTAAAGCCAGGTTTAAACGATCCCATAACAAATTCAAGCCCAAATTATATCTACAGTACGTTGTAGTTGGACCATTATTTTCTTGGTGTGAGGATTTTTTTTTTCCTCGATAAAGAATTTTGATGATCTCAATCGCCATTTTAAAGAAGAAACCCAGCATTTGGTCGTAATAAACAAACTGAGGCCACTTTTGCTGAGGATTATTGTTGCCTCGCATCAGAGCGCTTTGAGCCGGAACGGGAGTGTTGTAAAACCAAGGCCAAAGTAGTCTCAACAGCATATCAAAGCAACTGAAAATATCTATCTCAAGAAGCTAGTGAAAATTTAAAGTAAAAGCAAGCAAACTGCTCGGAAAGTAGGGAAACGCGGAAAAAGCGAATGCTCAAGTCGAGATTGGTTTGTGAAATAAAACCAAAGCGAATCCAGCATTGGTGAAAGGTAAGTACGGTTTACGACAGGAAATTGACGAGGAAAACTGTTTCCATCTTGCAAATTACTCAGTCCTGATAAGAAAAAATTCTGCATTTTCAAATGTCCTTTAGGTAAACGTTTTCTGAATATTACTTATGCCACAATACTTAAGATAACCAGTAATCATTGTGTTAACAAAGGTTTGATGTTTACTGACAAAGGAATCAAACTAACAAGGTCAACATTGTGTACTGTAAGTTTCATTTCAACTTCAGAGGCTTATCTTGGACAAGATTAAGCTATTACGTAATATAGTTTGTGTCCCTTACACGCGACGGCGCGCCGATGAGAGCGGTATCGCATAATCAAGATTCTGATGATCAGTCATAGCGCTATATGCGGCGGTTGTCCGGTTGAATGTCCACAGGTGTTAGTGGGGGGATATAAAGAAACTGATAACTTAGCCAATAGATGATAAAATAATGGACGTGCTGAACGTACTATTATTCATGTTCCGTGTTGTGTGCTCATTAATGTGAAATTGGATCATGATGGAGTTGACCAAATCCAGAGCTGAAAAAGTATGGCTTCCAAGATTCTAGGCGCTTCGTCATTGAGTAGCTTTGTGTGTCTGTTAAGTTGAACGTCCGTACCGGTTCTTACGGCAAAGAGAGAGGACAAAGGGACTTCAAGGACTTATTTTGGACACACTTAACCAATTACGAGACGTTGTTTTCGTCTAGAAAGAGCATGGTTTTTTTTCCACAGAGACTTCTCATTACTTAATATCTGATCTGAAAAGCTCACTTTTCTTCTTTCAGACTTAGAACCTTGTACCTCTGTAAAATCCGTATCGTTGCCACAAAGGTATCTTCCACGCTGCTGTCGAGTTCCTCAAGTCGAACCAAAAGTTTCGGGTTGGCTGTGTTTCATTTCTGTCGTCGTAGGATCAGGTTCTTGAAGTCGCTTTAGGTTGTGATCGATGATCGTAAACGATCTCTCAATATAAGTCTGGTATTTCGAGCTGCCGCAAATGTCAGCTTTGCTCATAGTTCATCAACCAAACTTCACGAAACTGTTGATTTAACCTGTGTTAGTTGTAATTAACCGATGCCGGCCGGACGAAAGTAATGACTTCTTAAATCAGCTTCATTCGGCTTGGCTGCTCAAACCTGAAGAATCTATGGATCGCACAATTTCTCTCCAGTTAAACGGAAAATGCCCTCATCGAATTGTTTTATCAGTGCTGAAAGGAATTGTCTCACATGCAACTCTTTGCATCAAGTAAATTTTTTACGCTTTTTGATTTTTCCTCAGTATTAACATAAAGACCACGACGAGTAATTTTTCCCTCACGTGAAGTTTTCAGTTTTAATCTTGAAAATTCTAATTTGCGATTATTTCCTGTTGGTTGCCCACAATGATGATAAATAGTCTACTTAAATATTATTCCATGGAAAGTGCACGCGAACGATTTCTTTTTTCACGAGTTCCCATGCATCAGGAAAAAGAACGATTGAGTGCAATGAACAAGTGAGTTTTTTCGATGCATCGCGAAGAAAATTCTAATTTGTGAATATTTCCTGAACGTTGCCCACAATGACGTTAGATAGTCCACTAAATAGAGATTATTCCATGCAAACTGCACACCAACGACTTTTATTCACGTTTTGCGATGCATCAAAGAAAACCAACGAGTGAGCGCAGTGAACAAGGGAGATTTTTTGTGCATCGCAACGAGTGAATAAAAATCGTTCAAGCCCTACTCGTGGTATGATGTTTTTATTTCATACATACTGAGATTTGCACTGTGAAGTACGAAGCAAACGACTGTGAAAATACATCGTTCGTCCAAAGACACGAACGGTAGTACTTAAAAATGTAAATCTAAACAAGTATGAAATAATACTAATTATCATACATTACAGTTACTAATTAAGAAAACTCCAAGACAGTCTTTTGCGGATTGTTTAAAAAATAATAATAAAACAATTTTAATTTTTTAAAATAAATTCGGTTTTCGCATGATATCATGGATTATCAAACCTCGTGTCCGTGTTATCTGTCTCGGCCTTTGGCATTGGCAGATAATTCAGACCTCGACTTTGATAATTCATTATCTCATGCTCAACTTCATCCAGTAATTGCTTAATATTCACGCCTTTGGGCAAAGGTGGTTTTCATCTTTCTTCATAAATACCGTCGCGAAGATTATTCTACATGACAAGGGTTTTTTGAAGTCTTGAAATTTTTCATATAGTTTCGTTTGCTATAAGTTACCTATAGACGTTTGAGTCAGGCTTTCCTTCTAATTTTCAAGGTAAGCTCGTCTACATTATAGACCTGAAGCAATCATACGTATGATTTTCCCAGGTAGGA